TTAATCTCATATACTGTAGCACACTTTCAAATAGCACAATAGCAGCATTCTGTTTACAAGACCTTGAATGCAATTATCTCTCTTTTTGCTCTGTATTTGTGTGGAAAAAAGAAATAATATTCAGAGATTTTTTTTTAGTTTTCCCTCTTGTTAAGAAAATCTGCATGAATAGCTTTAGGTACAGTACATAAATCCAATCCTTTCATGTATCAAACTCCTTCATAGTATCTACTTTACTGAAATCAGTTAGTAAGAAGATATGGGAAACTTTTCTTTATGAAAGAAAAGTAAAGGAAAAAGAACTTCAATTTAAGCCATATCAAGCATATTCCTGAGGGTCAGCATTTTCTTCAGCTATTTGTCAGTTTTTGTATAAAATCATAAAGGGGTAGAACTGCTTGCAGAAATGTGTGGTATTCTATCACATGGCTTGGTAAATAATTATCCTGTTAAAATTATCTCTTGCAAGTCAGGAACACGTTGGATCTGATTAGCAAGATACTACATATTCATTTCAGAAACAAAAATTCATAGCATGTTCTAAGGAGCCAAAAAAATAATAAGTGCAGACATCTGTGTGCAGCTCTTTCATTATTAGAGCTGACTTTCTGCTATATCAACCTTTTGACTTGCAGTGAATAAAATTTCCATTTCAACACTTCCTCCATTTTATTCCAAACCCTCTCTGATATCAACTACAATTCTCCAAAGAGAAAACTATAAACCATGCCGTATGCTTGGTTCTGTGTATGGGAGAACAAAATTATTCATTAGGCATACTATACTAATTAACACCATGAGGTATGTTTTGAAAAATATACACAATACATCTCCCATGTTACTCACCTTCATCAAAAGAAGCCATCAGGTCCTGCTTGGAAAAATCTTATTATGCTGCTGAAGGCAAAAATCTAATTTACACCGTATACACATCGAAGGACAAACACTTTGCCCTTAATAACAAAAGAGTGAGGGGACCTAGAGTTAGACAATTTTTTTAAAATATGATGTTGTGGCATGTAGAGACATAAAGCAGCTTTCTCTCTTCTAATATACCATCAAATGTATATTAATCTGTATTTACCTCTGTAGCTGTTTTATAACCTCAAATGCCTGCCATACTGATGAAAATCCTGTGACATACAATATGACATCACAGGCTTTTCCTTTACTAATAGGCTTCAGACCAATGAGCATGGGTAGCTAGAGCTGTCAAAGATCTGGATTTGCAAAATGTGTTCCACAACACCCATATCCCTCTCTACAATCTTTATGCAGTTCTAAGCAAATTTTGCATTTGACTAGAAGAAATAGTCAAACGTCTTATCACTGTCAAAAGATGTGACCATAAGCCTATACCATCATTCAGGACTTTGATTCACCAGATCTACAATTGCTCTTTGATGAATCACTAGTCTAAAACATTTCAATATAGATACTGTAGATGTGCAAATAGTTGCATCGTATTAAGCACACCTGTAATGTGATTGACCCATGACAAACTTTATTTTTAATATAGCCACATTTGTTGAATACATTGGAAACAGAACTAGTCCTAATTCATGTATACCAAGTATTTGTCCTATCAGACGGAGGCCAAACAATGTGACACCTTTCTCTAAAACCTATAGAACAGGCCCAAGCGCACATCAAACTAGTCAAGTGCCCAATCTAATGTTCTGCAGAGGATTTGATTTTTGCTCTGTGTTAGCAAAGAATGCTATCAGAGGACAAATCTGTAGCTGTGATGTGTACCTCAGAGCTATGATGTGCTGTATTATAATGAGTCTTTAATAATAGTCTATCTCCTGAGGGCACTTGGAGACTAACAGTGAGTAGTTCCTAAGAGCCTAGGTCTTTGTGTGCAGCTGCAATGGGATATACTGTACAATTAAAGGTAATGTACACCCTGGCAGATGCATGCCCATCTGCTTGGAGCCTTACACTTTGAGAGACAGTGTGTGTTTTAAGTCAAGGAAAGGGATGTATCTTTTTAAATGGGATTCACAAAATGCGGATGATTTAATCATGATGATTTAATTTCTGTTGTTAATATCGGCTTTATGCAGGCATAATATTTTAAAAGAATGCTCTTTTGTTGCTACTCATTTCCCGGCTGAAGTTACAAATTCCTAGAGAAACCTTAGTGTGATTAAGTGGTCCATTCTCCTACCATTGAGGGTTGAACAGAGGGATTGTCCTTCCAAGCAAATTAATTTTCCTGAACCATGTAATTACGGAGGAGAAATGTCTTGACCTTCAAAGATCACTCCCACTCAACCACAGTGACCAGAGCAGAGATGGAAGTGAAGGATAGGGAGACACTGTAGCTAAAGCAAGAGTGAGACTGTAGTGCTGTGAGTTGTTTGATTTTAAGTCTGTAAGTTGCTTAGCTGCCCGGTATGTTATAGAGGGCCTTTGTCAAGAAGTTCAGTCAGAATCTCAAAAAGGATCTTAGGCTTTCTTTTTGTTTTTGATTTGGTGGATTTTGGGTTTTCCTGTAAATAAAAGCAATGTTTTTGAACCTTAAGGTTGTGTATACAGCATGTGTATCTGTTCTACCTATTTTAAAGATCCTGTTAATGCCCACTCAGCAGGCCATCTAAAGCACCTTAATTTAAAGTAAGGATTAAGCTGTGAACAGTGAAGATCTCTTTGCAACCTGAACTCACCCCTAACCCAGGATTTGCAAAGCTTTTGCTATTCAAAAGTGGCAGAACAAAGGTGTTGTGGTATCTGGAGTGATAGCCCTAAAACATAAGGGATATTTCTACTGTTATTTGGATGAGGACAGCTTTCTCATTTCTGGAGTGCAGCTAGAGACACCTAGGCAGATTCATGATGTTTTTTGTTTTTCAGTTGTGAGGCTGTTTCTTTTTGGTAATACAGTGTTAAATTAATTCAGGAGAAAAGCTCCTTGCAGAGATATGTTGATGCATATGAAGACAGGAGGGTTGCAGCAAGTTGAGTCATTGGTCTGAATGATAAAGATATTAACAATACATGCAGCAGAGGACTTTAAAACATATTTTAGTGAATTACTTTAATATGGTAAAGAGAAACAAAAGCCTTATTTCTTGGCAATGGCATTGACATTGTGCAGTTTAAAGTAGCAATCACACACAAAGCCTATTTCATCAGACATTTCTGAACTAATTACAGATGATACTATTTATGATATCACACATCCTGTTCATATGAATGGACAGACTGACTTATCAACTGTTTTGATTTATTGTAGGATGATTTCCTTTTCTCTCAGGCATGCAATGAAAACAGTATACTATAAATAATACATAAATAACATGACCAGAATAGAAATAACGTGTAACTAAAATAAACACTTCAAGATATTCTTAAGGAATAATAAACTTGCGTTAACACTTTAGATTATACTCTTATGTTTCCTCAGTTCCTATAGGGATTAAGTTGATATTTTGTTATGATTTATAACTGATTACTGATATGCATGCTATAGTAGTTTATTTTGGGATTTTATTTTTCTTTTTGCTACCAGCGTGTGAAAAAATGCACAAGTACAAAACATGTCATTCAGTGAGCTGTAAAATAAACACATCTCCTGGTTGTAAATGAAATTTCGTTTCTCAGCCGAGTATGAATTGAGCATGCAACACCGACAAAAAAAACAAAAAGGAGATGTCCCTCTATAAGCATCTAAATACAAATCTGTCCGTTATACAATGCGTCATAAAAGAGAGAGGCTGTTTCTGAATCCAGCAGCCTTGCTACATCAAAAGAACTGGCTCTCTTGGAGAGCAATAGTTTTGTTGACACTTCAGAATGTTTCCGTATTTTTCTGCACCAGGGATTGTTGTAATTCTCCCAAGAGACTTCGTAGGTGTTGAGAGGGCAGTGCATGGAAGCTGGCTGTCCTTTGCTGACCCAGCGATATGGACTTATTGAATAAACAATTCTCAGCATGGTGAATAAGCTGTACAGTACATCATAGCCTGTGCATTCATTCTGCTATATGATGCTGCTGCATGTAAGAAACAAAGACATGACCCTGCTGTAGAAAGATTCATACCAATGCTGTTTTTTCCCTCTTCAAGTGGTGTTTTTGTTCCAGCGCACACATCTTATTTTCACAGTCAAGGATCAATGTCAAGAGGTTCTGATGAGTCTATAGCTTCTATCAGCAGCCCTCTGAATCACTGTAGTCTGTTATCACATGTCACACATACTGTACAGTAGCTGTAGTGAAAATATGTGACTGACTAGGGATTCAATCACACTATTCTGCACGTGGAATGATGTAAGCTACACCATTTCTGCTTTAGGTGGTGCATGTCTGAATTTGTTAGAACTGATGTAAATAATTGAAATTTTAGAAACCAGACCTCTCTCTTACAAAATGTGTCAGCAGGACATGCGAATAAAAGAAGAACTTATTAACCATCTCATTCTCATGATAGAGAATGAAAACAGGCCCGAAAGACCACACACCTGGCCCAAAATTCTTGAGTTCTGGATTCAAGATTGCCTCTTAAAAAATGTCTGGGTGTTAGTCACTTTCTGCATGTGAAAATATTTCCTTACGGCTCCGAAAATATCTGCTTTTCCACATTTTCCATCTGCATGCATGTGTGCTGACATGCATGTGAGGTGAAATAAAGGTCTTCAATCTCCAATGCTGATCAGATCTCTAAAAGTAGTCCCTCCTGTTATTTGCACTGACATATTGTAAGTACAAAGTTCAATTATCCAATTGGCTCAATTTGAAATATTCAAAGAAATGAAGATGTTTTTTCCAGTACTATAATTAAAATTCATATTTGGATTAACTTCTAAGGTGGCACAGTAGCCAATGTGTGGTCTACAGAAAAATATCGGATTTCTGAGTGAAGAAACAGCTAAGACTGACTGAGATCATACAGATTGCTCAATTGGAGGAAAAAAAAAAAAGAAGATCCTGGACGTCTCACAGTAACTGTTTCAAAGTGTTTGTCTCTCTTGGTCTCTCTGCCTTCACTCCTCAGCTCTCTCGGCGCACTTCCGTGTCTGTGAGCCGTACTCTGACCACAAAGGCCGCTACCACTTCGGCTTCCACTGCCCTCGTCTCTCCGACAACAAGACCTACATGTTCTGCTGTCACCATAACAACACCGCCTTCAAGTACTGCTGCAACGAGACAGAGTTCCAGAACGTCATGCAGATCAACATCACGGGGAGCTCTGATGGCTTCATGCACAAGTAAGTGGAAAGTCTGGGTGAGTGACTGGAATGACTTTGCAGACTGACCTTGCCTTTATGAATAAAATAATGCTTGCTGTGCTCAGATCACGTGGACAGTCTTTGATCCATATACTGTACCAATTAAATTCTCTCTGCGCTTGCCTTTGCCAAAGAACCTTTATTGTCCCCAAAAGGGAGGATAGTTTGCTCTGTGTTTTTTGTTGGTGCTGTTGTTGTTGTTGTTGTTGTTGTTGTTGTGGTTCTGACTGACTTTTTCTTCTGACTACTAAAAACCACTATCCTATAAAAGATGTCTCTCTTAACACTGCACATTGGGTAGAGTCAACATCCAGCTTCTAGGTGTTGAGAGTAGAGCCTTCAACCCTGTCATTTTAGAAAAGAGACTTCAATGAGTAAATTGTGCTGCCTCATTGGTTTGTCTTATTATTAAGCTTCTAGATGCAAATAAATGAAACACGATTGAAAATTAAGAATAAACGTTTCTGGCAGAAGATGTATCATACAAAACTTTTACTGGACTGTCTTTGTTTTACTTCCTTTTACATATTCATCTCATTAGATACTTTATTTATGATTTATATTTCATTTAAAGTCTTATTAAAATTCTGATGACTACATTTACAGCATTACACAGGCATTTACTACAGTATCTGAACGGTGCACCACTGTTATTTGAAATCCTTAAGGCTGAATACTTAACTACACGTGATAAGTGCCCAACGGCATCAGTTTGCAAGAATGGACTTACTAAAATCTGTGGAGAACATTTAGCATTGCTTTTTTTTATCTTTTCTTGTGATGATGTGTCCAAGATGCCATTAATAAGCAGTACAGGCAGTTACATGCATAAGTAATGTAGCAATAACTGTCTCCGTGATGTGCTTTATTTCAATTACAACATAGATGAATTTCATTAAAGCCTCCAGCAGATGTTATTTACTTGTAACAGATGGCTTAAAGGCAGAGACTGTGACTATCACACCACTTCACAATGCCAGAAACCACAGACCTATGGAGATTGTAAGAGCAGACTTTGCTGGGTCTTCACTGAAAATTAGACTATTTTCTTAAACCTTGACTTACCTTGATTGATTGATTGATTGATTGATTGATTGATTGATTGATTGTACCTCAAGATGGCAACACCCAGGGAATACCATTGTGATTAATATTGAGCTGGACTCACAGCTGATTTATAATACACAAAACTGATTGTGTTGTCATCTCTATGTTACCTCATTTTTTTAAATTCTTTGCTTTCTCAGTTTGGAGTGACTTTACTGTGTATCAGTTATGTCTCAAAGCTCTCAGTGACAACCTGTTAAATTCTAATACTGACAGAATTAGAAATGCAGGCATGCCCAGTTGAATCAAGCCCCTCACAGGCCCTTCAGCAACATACAGGAGGTTCTTCTCCAAACTGCAAATGGAGGAGAGGCGTCTAATTGACTGACATCACTGGAAATCCACTGTGTGGGACCTTGCTGACTGACCCCTTCCTGCAAATGTTGGTGTTGTACAATGTGTCAAGGATGGCGTTTAGAGCACCTGGTTGGACCCTATGCGGCGCTGAGACTGTAGTTAGCTAGTGTTTGGCGTCCAAATCCCAATGGCGAGGTAGAAGAACTAGGTCGGGTATCACAGGAGTCAGGTCGAGAGTATCCAAATCCAAAACAAGAGAAGAGACAACGAGACAAAGTCGAAGCAGGAGGCAAAACAAGGTCAGATAGCCAGAAAACAGGTCGAGAGTAATTTACGTGCACAAGACAAAAAGCCAAGGGTTCGGGGACAGAGTGGAGTGAAAGGGTATAAACAGGGAAGAGCGTGAGGAATGACAATTGATTAATTAGTGTACGAGTGCTGGCGGTGGGAGGTGCTCGAAGGAATGCGGTTCGTGACACAATGGGCTGTGTTTTGTGTGCACAGTTGACATCAATTCATTAAAAAATACTGAAGCCATTGTAGTAGCAGCATGAGGTATCTTCCTGCAGGACAAGAAAGGTATCCAGATGCTTCGGAATAGATATTTGTCTTAAGAACATAAGACAGATCGCAAATAAGAGGAGGCTACAGTATGTGGCCCGTCTAGCTGATTTGATAGAAGATGATGGATTCAAGGATCTCTCCCAGCGATTTCTTTATAGATAAAGGGTACCATCTTAAATAACAAGGTTATATACACTGTAGCTTGCTCAACACTCCCACAAGTGCCTTGTGCATTCTCTCTTTTGTCCTCTGTTTCATTTTTCACTGTTCATTCTGAAGAAGCCCACTGGAATGACTTGCCTGTGCCTTTGAGGAATACTTGAATCAGGTCTCCTTCTAGTCTCCTCTGTTCAAGACTAAAAAGTTTGACTTCATTTCACTTGTCAGTGTTGGACATTTCTTAAAGGCCCGGAATGATTCCAGAGCTGCAATATTTTAAATGAAATCTTACACTTGCTTCATGTAGTTTTAAAATAACAATACTTGATTTACATTGTACACTTTTAACTACAGTACATAGTCTAACATTCTAACATAAAGACCTGGATGACTCAAACTTTCCTTCACTTAAACTGCAACAAGAATAAGGTCTTGTTACTTGATACTCATCACCTAAGTATAACCAGTACAGTAACCCTATCAGTGGACAGCTCTGTGCTTGAATTTCAATCAAAAGTGTAAACTATAGGGATGATATTCGATCCTGGCTTGACCTTCAACACGCATATGCAGAATATTGTAAAAACATCTTTCTTCCTTCTCCTGCTCCTCTGTTGTAGTTCTAATAATTGTTTCCATCCCCTTACATAGAATAATAGTCTGACATCTATAACATTATGATTTATTGACTTTTTTGTCTATGTCACTCTTTATACATATCTTTATACCTGTTTCATTGTCTGAATACACCTCTTTGCACCTCTTTTACTTTTGGTAGAATGATGTTTCTAAATTCACAAGCTCTTGAGAGACAATCTGTGCCCCTGTTGCCATTCACTAATTGCTCCAGAAGAACTCAACAATTTAACATTTCTTTGCACTTTTAATTGGTAGTTTCTGCTATTGAAGACATTACAGAGACTTCTGGCTGTTTGAAGTGAGTATCAGCATGTTGATTCCATGTGATCAAGCAAGATTGACAAGAACCCATTTCCACTGATTTTCAGGTCAATCCTAGGGATGTACGATAGAGGCATCAACATCCAAATTCCTTTAAATGTCAATGTGATACCCTAGTATGGGCTGTCATAAAATGAGAACTTTGATAGGTGGGTCAAAGTTAAACACAAACAGAAAACAGCCGCCATAAGGCAAAGGCAGAGAAAAGTGCCCTTTCATTAACATTAGAAAACTGTTCACAAGCAAAACAAAACACCAAAACAATAATTTAGCTCTTTTTTTAAGCTTCTTATTCTTCTCCTTTCAAATCCCTGACCAACAGTAGCTGGGCAGCTAAGCTGCTTACCAGACTCAAAACTAACAACTTTCAAACTCTCTCTGAGACTCCTCTAAAGCACTTCCAAACTTTTCAACTTACATTCTTATTTCTCTCCATCAGTAATTTCTCTTTTCCAGTCTCTTTTCCTTCCCCACCGGTGAGGGTGTACTGCGAGAATCTGCCTTCTGTGCAGACAGAGCTTATTGGCAGGCTGTTGTCTTGTGCCAACCATACAAGTGACTATGTGCAGCATCTCATTCCCCACAGATTTAGGGGAAATGAGTCCAGGCAAGAATCTTCTGTTTGTCTGAACCTACTGCCCACTCACTGTCAGCACCTAATCCAGTCCACCAGTAGTAGCCTTGTGAAACTTCCTTCTTACACAATACTCTACAGTAGTATGCAGTACTCCACGCAGAGGATATAAATTATTCTCTCTTTCTCAATCCAAATTACCCCCAGCTCACAATGTACTGTACATCACAACAGACTGTTTTTTTTCCCTAAATCATTCATCTTAGGTTATATCTTTAGATTATCGGTCTTCACATTTATTTAACCAATTCCATGCTGCTGCTTTCTTGGATGACACACTTAGTACATCAGTGCTCTCATTTTTATTAAGGCAAATATCTTAACTCAGATGTACTGGCTAAAGTCCACTCTGGACTTACACAGACTGGTCAACCTAAGTTTCCATCTTAATTAATTTAATTACTGAAGCAATTTCTCACATCTCCCCTTCATCTTCATTCAGTTGTCCAAGATGGCAGCACGCTAGCATGCAGCGGCCAACAACGGCACGCTAATTGTCTGTCGAATGCATTTTTTTCCTACTATTATTGTGTCTTTTTTACTCCATGAACAAGTGCTTACAAACATGATCTACAGCTGTGAAGTCCTTCTGGATATAAGCTCAAGATGTGAAAATCTCTCTCAGTACACCAGCTGCACTACTACTCCACGAGCATGGCCTCACGTGTACCCGAGTGAGAAGGCGCTGCAAGCAGGGCGAGACAAGGCGGATGCGCGGCGGGCAGGTAGGGGTGCTAGCCAGGCTAAAGGCTAACCCCTCCAGACCAGCGATTCCATCTATTTTCCTGGCCAATGTTCGCTTACTGGACAATAAAATGGACTTACTCAGGCTAAGATACACTACACAGCAAGAAATGAGGGACCGTTGTGTTTTCATTCTTACGGAAACGTGGCTCCACGAAAACATCCACAACTCGTCTATTGAGCTGGATGGACTGTTTCTCTTCTAGGCAGACAGAAATGTTTAAACCGGGAAGACCAGAGTAGGCGGCTTGTGAGTCTCTATTAATAAAGGTTGGTGCACAAACGTTACGTCCATTTCGAGTCATTGTTCTCCAGCGGCTGAATTTTCAACAATTACATGCTGACCTCACTACCTGCCGAGAGGGAGTTTAATGTTGTTATCATTTTTGCTGTGTACATCCCACCGAACGCTAACATCAGAGATGCACTCAAACTGTACAGCACTATTAGCCTGCAATAAAACACACACCCGGACTGTCTTTTCATTGTCGCTGGTGATTTAAACCAGGCAAACCTCAGGACAGTTCTATTGAAATTCTATCAGCATGTTCATTGTCCAACCAGGGGGGAAAACACACTGGACCTTGTTTACATGAACATCCGCGATGCGTAAAAGGCTGCCCCCCACCCCAATCTGGGACAGTCTGGCCACATCTCCCTGCTGCTGATCCCTGCATACAAGCCGCTTCTTAAAAGACCCAAACTAGTCACCAAACAAGTAAAAGTGTGGCCGGAAGGAGCAACCTCAGCTCTGCAGGATTGTTTTGATCACACTGACTGGAACATGTTCAAAGTTGCTGCATCATACAGGGACTGTTTGGACTTAGAGAAGTACACATCATCAGTTATTGGCTACATCAGCGAGTGTGCAGATCACGTTGTGATCACTAAGTCTGTCACTATTCAACCTAACCAGAAGCCTTGGTTGAACCCTGAGGTCTGTTCGCTGCTGGAGGCTCGAAATGCTGCATTTAAATCTGGCGACAGAGTGTTACTCAAAGCGGCTAGGGCTAATTTAACCAGTGGCAACAGGAAAGCCAAATCAGCCTATGCCCTGAGGATTCAGGAGCATTTTGTGGACAAGGACCAGAGGCAGAGGTGGCAGGGCATAGAGATCATCACTGACTACAAGAGAAGAAACAACGGTGTTGATGATGGGAATGTGTCCCTGTCCAATGCGCTGGATGATTTCTATGCCCAGTTCGAGGCACTCAACACAACCCCGGCCATGAAAGCAGCATCTCCCCCAGGCGACCAGGTACTGTCCGTCTCCCTAGCTGATGTGAGAAGGACTCTGGCAAGAGTAAATACACAGAAAGCCACAAGACGGCTTTCCCAGTAATGTGTTAAGAGAGACCATCTAGCGGAAGTCTTCAACGACATCTTTGACACTTCCCTGGCTTAAGCTGTTGTTCCAAATTCCTTTAAATCCACCATCATCACCCCAAGAAATCACCAGTATCCAGCCTCAATGATTATTGCCCCGTCGCACTCACCCCAGTCATTATGAAGTGCTTAGAGAGACTAGTCATGTCACACATCAAGGCCTCTATCTCACCCACATTAGACCCAAACCAGTATGCCTATTGCCACAAAAGACCCACCGAAGATGCCATTGCTGCTGCAGTAAGACCCATCTGGAGGGTAAAAACTGTTATGTTGGAATGCTGTTCATAGACTTTAGTTCAGCATTCAACACCATCATCTCCAACAATTGGTACACAAGCTGTCCTCACTGGGTCTGGACACTCCACTATGCAACTGGATCCTGGACAAGGCTGCGAGGATCCATGGTAACCCTTCCTACATCATTATTCTGAACACTGGTGCACCACAAGGTTGTGGGTCTCATCACTAACAGCAATGAATCAGCCTACAGGGATGAAGTGGAGCGGCTTGCAGCCTGGTGTAAGGCCAACAATCTGTCTCTCAGTGTCGACAAGACCAAGGAGATGGTTGGAGATGAAGGAGACGGCCCGAGTCCTTCTGAGGTCGACAATCATCTCCTTGGTCTTGTCGACCTCAGCGGGACTCAGGCCGTCCACACTCCCCTGTGTATCGATGGTTCAACG